TACTTTGAGTGATTGTTCTACCCTTTAGTTGAAGCTGTAACTGTGCAGGATGATGCTTCCTAGAAAAAAAACAACCAACTCAGTTTTCTTCGGAGAGAATTCGATACCCAGCTTCATAGCCCAAGTAGACAAATTGTCTAAGGTATCTTGCAATGGTCCTTGCAGGTCCGGTGCACTTGGCCCTATAACGGACACAACCCCGTCATGTGCAAGCTGCCTTAGCGAGCAATTTTCATCAAGACAACCATCAATGTCTTTTACATAAAAATTATAAAGAAGGGGGCTTAAACATGAACCCTGGGGGAGACCCATGTAACTAATTCGTGAAGTTGTCGAGTTTCCATGAGAAAAGCTCATATATTTCTCAGACAACAAGTTGCTCAAATAGATGTTCATGATTGGTGAAAGCCCACTATCGTGGAGTTTATCCGAAAGGACATCGATACAAACAGAATCAAAAGCCCCCTTAATGTCCAAGAAAACTGAACCCATTTGCTGTTTTTGCGCATAGGCCAGTTGAATTTCAGTTGAAAGCAACGCAAGACAGTCGCTCGTTCCTTTACCTCTCCGAAATCCAAATTGCGTATCTGAAAGTAAACCATTCGACTCGACCCATTGGTCTAGACGAAAAAGAATCATTTTCTCCAACAATTTCCGTATACAGGACAGCATCGCGATGGGACGGTACTAGTTATAATCCGACGCGGGTTTACCGGGTTTTCGAATGGCGATAACTCTTACTTGCCTCCAGTCATCCGGAACAATGTTGTGCTCCAGAAATTGATTGAATAAGTTCAACAAGCGTCTCTTCGCGACGTCTGGGAGATTTTTAAACAAGTTGAACTTGATTCTATCCATTCCTGGAGCTGAGTTGTTACATGAGAGGAGAGCAAGTGAGAATTCCACCATCGAAAACGGGGAATCTATTTCGTTATTACCCGACGGACGATCACGAACGTTGGTTTGGACCGGTACCGAATCCGGGCAAACTTTCCGCGCGAAGCTGAAAATCCAACTGTCCGAGTACTCCTTGTCTTCATTAATCGGTGATGACGCGTTTCGCATTCTCCTGCCGACATTCCAGAGTGTTCTCATGGAAGCCTCTCGCGACAAACCATCGACGAACCGACGCCAGTAACCGCGTTTTTTTTTGCTTTAATTAAGTCCTTAAAGGTTTTCTCGAGGTCAGTGTACCGCTCGAAATCCCCGACCTTACCGTGTTTGCGGAAGCGTTTAAACGCGGTGGACTTCTCGCTGTTCGCGTCGGTGCAATCCTTATCCCACCACGGGGTGGGAGGTCGCTTGCGGACGGAAACACCCGGAACACGTTTCGTCTGTGCTCGCAGCGCACAATCGATGATAAGACGCGCGAGAAAGGAGTACTCGTCCAGTGGAGGAAGTATTTCAACCGATTGACTGGCATCAAGAACCGCGGTCGCGAATTTTCGCCAGTCTATGTTTTTCGTAAGATCGTACGCGATGTCGACCGAGCGAGTAGAAGATGAACCATTGGTAATAGAAATTTTGATTGGCAAATGGTCACTACCGTAGGGATCTTGAATTACTTTCCACCAGCAATCCAACGATAGTGAACTCGAACAAAGTGAGAGGTCTAATCTGCTTACTTTTGCTGAAGGTTTGGCTACTCGTGTTGCTTCCCCGGTGTTCAGAATTGTCATTTTGAAGAAGTCGCACATGTCGTATATCAAGGTTGAGCGGTTGTCGTCGTACAGTTCCCCCCAGCTTGTACCGTGAGAGTTAAAATCTCCCAAGATCAACCGTGGCTCCGGCATAGCCGTGCAGATATCCGCGAAACTTTGACGAGAGATCGCGGTTCTCGGTGGAAGATATACTGAGGCAATACTAAGGCATTTACCTCGAATATTAAGCTGACATGCAACTACTTCAATGCCTGTCACCGAAGGCAGATCGATTCTGTAGTAGGAATGGAGCTTGTTGATCCCCAGAAGCACCCCTCCAGACGAATCTGCGCGGTCAAGGCGAATAATGTTGAAATCGTGGAAAACAAGATCGTTGTCTGAAGAGAGCCATGTTTCACAAAGGGCAAATGCATCAGAAAGTGAGTTGTTAACTAAAAATTTAAATGTGTCAAGTTTTGGCATAAGACTTCTACAGTTCCACTGAAGAACAGAGATCATATCCCCGACCTCATTCGGAGTATTATCCATCGAAGGATATGATCGATGCAAGGAAGGACCACCTAGAAGCTAGTTGCTTCAAAAGAGTTTTCACCATTGGCAGCACTAAATTAATAATGCTCCTCGTTGAGTCAGAGATATTGGATATACTGAAGAAGCTATCCACAATACCAGAAAACGTGAACATGGGAGCATGTTCTTGCTGATTATTCAGCTGATTTTCTGGCCGAAAAACTGGAACATCTGGGGTTTTAGATGATCCTGAAAGTGACGGAAAGTTCTTGTCATAATTACAAGGTGGAATGGGTTTCGGTGCATTTCCGTTACCTCTTGATTTTTCCAAGGTGGAAGGGTGGTCCGTACGAGTGGCCTTACGAGGCTTTTCGGTGGTGTGTTTTTTGTTCGTTTTCTCGTATTGCCTTTAAAGACAAACGGACTACCCTCACCGACCTCTGAGTCAGAGTCTAGATCATCAACTGGCAAAATGGAGAACGTGTTACTGCTTTTTGGTGTGGTCTGAGAAGATGAAGCGGTATTCTTCAAGAGTTCTGCTAGTGTTCTCTTGGAGCGAGCTTGCAGAGACCGCTTAAGTTTTTCTCCCTGCTGTTTATACCTCGGGCAGTCAGTCAGGGTATGCAGGCTTTCCTTGCAGTACACGCATTTTGGAGGAGCACCGCAAGGGCCCTCTTGATGTTGCTCGCCACACTGATCGCAGCGTGGTTTGTTCGAGCAGTAGTCCGATGTATGACCAAGTTGTTTACATTTCGAGCAGTTCATTACCCGAGGTACAAACAGGCGTACAGGCAGCCGATCCTTGCCAATAGCGACGTAGTGAGGTAACGCTGAACCCGAAAAGGTCACACGAAACCAGTTTGACAAGGAATAAGTTTTTTTGGAGCCTACTACGGATACTGACTGCATTTGAAGGCAGTCCAATATCTTCACCTTCGGCAGAGCACGGTTTTTAAAGATTCCGAAGGAATCGGGACCCAAGAAATCATCACTAGTCAAACTCGCTTCGGTGACCACTCCTTCAATTTCTACCTCACTACTGGGTATGTAGACTCGGTATTCCAATGAAAAAAGCTCGCACGCAACAATTTGGTTAGCCTGCTTCCGGTCATCAACGGTAAAGCGCAGTTTTATTGGTGTTACCTTGAAAATATCTGTAACGGCCGAAAAATGTGTTGTTAGATCCTTAGAGATCCTCGGAATGTTCAAAGGTTTTTGTTTGGGCCGGAAAAAAACAACCCATGGGCCTTTCGAGGCTTCTGGGTAAGCCTTTAGGCGGGGGAGCGCAGAGATTTTTGGGGGCAGTGGTGACGAGAAGGAGATGGTGGGGGAGAGGGTTGTGGGGGATACCTTTTCTTAGGATATGCGCCAGTATTTTTGCTGGAGAGCGAGTCAACTGGGACGTCAAGGGTTTCCATTTCCACAACTTCCTCGAGACTTTCGTGTGAGGTGGAATTAAGAGTTTCGTCGTCTGAGATGGAAAGCGACCATCCCCCGCCTTTATCATTTTCATCCATTGTGGTTGAATATCGCCGCAATGGTGTTTTTAATAAATATTTTACAAATAATTACAGTAATTTCAAATAGTATCAAAAATTAAAAAAAAATACAAAAAAAAAATAAATAAAAATAAATTAATTGATATAGTTTTACTCTAATAAAGAGTAATACGAAAGAAAAAAAAAAAAAACCAAAACAAGAAAAAAAATTTATATGGCAAAAAAAATTTTTTTTTGGATCACCCTGGATCGTCACTTAAAAATAGTACGAGAAAAAAAACCAAGAAAAAAAATTATAGATATATACTATTTACAAAATTTTTGGATCACCCTAATTATGACCAAACCTAATCTAATATTGGACCATGCGAGGAGATGCGATAGTGGTGAAAACAAAGCGACACGGTATACCTATTACACTGAGGCGGCAGATGACTGGTGCGTGGCTATTGTTTGCCCCAACGGCTGTTGGGTCGATAACCTTGTAGCTGGTATGCCTCGGTCGCCTCGGTAGGCAATTTTACGTGCTTTCGTTGTTGCTATCAATGGGATGATGTGATGATGTGATGATGATGATTAAAGCTGGACCGTAAGCAAAGCGCTCGGCGTATGGTTAACGGCTTCCTCACTCGCGCACTAGTTGTATTAACACTATGCCAACTAACTTTGGCGAGAAAAAACCCTCTCGTGGGGAAAAACTCAAAAACTCAAATACTAGTGTCGTACAACGAGACCGATGCGACTTGACCGGCCCAGCGTGCGAGACGGAATGACGAAACTGAATTGATTAGATTGATAATTTATTTGTTACTTATCTCCTCCTCGGCGTTGTCCGATGGCATTGGAAGAAGAGCGATCTTGGCGACTGGTCGGGTGACACTGTTGGTGGTCGCCGTCCGGAGGGTGACGACTCGTACTATTCCGTCCTGCCCAGGATGGAGTTTTGTGATGCGACCCAGTGGCCACTGTGCTGGAGGGAGGTTATCGTCTTTGATGATGACTAGACGACCGATTTGGATGCTAACGGGCAATCGGCTGCCTTTCATGGAGCGAGCTTGAAGTTGTTGGAGGTATTCGGGGTACCACTTTCTCCATATCTGCTGGAATCGCTTCTGCACTAAATGCCATCGTGACAGCCTATTGTCTGGTGTTGGTTTGAGGTCGAACTCGGGAATCGCTTGAAGATTGGAGCCGACTAAGAAGTGACCTGGAGTGAGTGCTTCCAGATCGGCTGGATCGGATGACATCTGGGTGATTGGTCGGGAATTCAGGCACATTTCTACCTGAGCGAGTAGAGTTGTCATTTCGTCCTGAGTGGCTGTTGTTGTGCCTAGTTCCATTCGATGTTGCTATTGGTGCACCAGTTGAAGATGAGCTTGCGGTCTTGTTCGTTTGTCTTGAGCATTCGGTACACTTGGTTGAGCTCGTTTGCAGCTCCCTTGTAGTTGGTCGCGTTATCCGAATGCAACTCTGAGACCATACCACGACGAGCAACAAATCTTCGGAGTGCAGCAAGGAATGCTGCCGTCGAAAGTTCGTGGACAAGTTCTATGTGGACCGCTCGGGTGGAGAAACATACAAAAATGGCGATGTATGCCTTCACCGGTCCTGCCTTGCGGTGTGCTCCCTTCAGGTAGATCGGACCGCAGTAGTCTACTCCCGATACAGAGAACGGATGGGATCGAGTTACTCGTGAGGTTGGTAAATCGGCGGTTGTTTGTTGCACAAGGACTGACTTTCGTCGGAAGCAGGTGTGACATTGGTGGTACACCTGACGAAGGAGATCCCGACCGCCAAGAATCCAGAATTTCTGGCGAATGGTGCACATCATCAGCTGTGGTCCAGCATGCAGTAGCGATCGATGGTAATGGTTGGCCAGCAGCGTGGCCAGCGGATGCTTGCCGGAAATGATGATTGGGTGTTTGGTATCGTCAGAGACCTTGGAGTTTTCGAGTCGTCCACCGACCCGAATGACGTCGTTGATGCTAATGTTAGGGTTGAGCTATTTCATCGACGAAGATTTATTCACAAGTATACCGTTTCGTAGAGCTGCCACTTCTCCAGAGAACGTATCGCGCTGAGCCAGGCGACATAAAGCGATTTCGGCCTCCCGTAGTTCCGACGTTGTGAGGAATGCGGTGGGTTGTACCACAAACTTCAATGAGACCGTACTAGCACCATTTGGATGGTTCCTTGTGGCTGATGCGCACAGTGCACGCAGGTAACGGAAAACATAAGCGACGATTCGGCGTAGCTTGGAGTATGACGAAAAGCGACCAAATAAGAATTCGGAGAACTCGTTGGATTGGGTTGCGTTGGCTGTTAGACAAATCTTGCGTTCTTCAGCGACGGTTGTTGAAGTATTATCGCCTCCGCTGGATTGGTTGGGCCACAGGTCCGACGGAAGTTTCAACCACGTTGGACCGGTTCACCAGCGTTCGCAGTGGAGAAGATCGGCCGGAGTAAGGCCACGAGAGATGTCATCGACCGGATTGTCGGACCCAGCGATGTGATTCCATGGATGTCCTACCGTAGCTTGTTGGATTTTTGAGACTCGATTGCCCACGAATACCTTCCAGCAGGCCGGTGATGAATTTAACCGCTGCAGCACTGTCGTGGAATCTACCCAAAAGAATACTGGACAGTCGGATTTTAGGGAAGCAATTACCTTTTGGAAGAGTTCGGTAGACAAAACCGCCACGCAGAGTTCCAAGCGCGCAATGGAATGGCGGGTCTTCAACGGCGTGACTCTTGACTTTGCTGCCAGCAAGTGGACGAAAATGTTCTGATGTTGATCTTCGGAGCGCATGTATACGCATGCGCCGTAAGCCTTCTCGGAAGCATCCGAAAATAAGTGTAGCTGGATGTTGGTTGCCCCGGCCACCGAGACAAATCGGGGAATTCGTACGTCACTCAAGAGATTCAGCTGATCATGGAACGTTTTCCATTCGGTTTGGAGTCTTGGTGGAAGTGGATCATCCCAAGCGTAGGTCTTCCCGTCGTTGGTCGTCAACGCCCTCAGGCGCTGCATGAACTTATTTATTTATTTATTTATTTATGTCGTCAATCAATCGTAGACCAATTACAATGAATGCTTATTAACTATGTCTTAAATATTATTGCCTGGCTAACCTTGAAAAGAATGCTTTTTTTAGTGTTATTTTATTCATTGTTACATCAATTGATTGGGAATATGCGTTATAGCAGGTCATAATTCTATTCTTAGGCCCATTTTTAGCATAGTTTGTTCTTTGATTGTTAATGTAAAACAAATTCCTAATCCTCAGAGAGCGAGTGGGAGCATAAAAATTTATATTTTCTAAAATTTCCGGAACATTAACTCTTTGAGCAATAACATCGTTTATAAATGTTACCATGGCAAAGTCTCTTCGTTTTTTCAGTTCATCTAAACTTATTAACAAACATCGCGATTCATAAGATGGAAGTGGTAATCTCGTCCAACCTAATTTTCGAAGGGCAAACAACAAAAACTGTTTTTGAACAGACTCAATGCGGTTTATATATGTATCCTGATACGGAGCCCACACTACGCTACAGTATTCAAGAAGAGGTCTCACATAGGCCACATACAGTGTTTTAATAGTGTAAGGATCATTGAAGTGCAGACTAAATCTTTTGATAAACCCTAGCATGTTACTTGCTTTATATATAATGTTATTGTAGTGATCAACAAATGACAACTTAGAGTCGAGAATAATGCCTAAGTCCCTTACTTGATTACACCTTTCCACTGTTTTCTCACCAAGGGAAATTGTGTCATTTACTATGGCATGCTTTCTTGTAAACGATATAGAATTACATTTACTAACGTTAATCTCTAACAAATTCTTCTAAAACCAAGTGTAAAAAATGTCAACTTCTTGCTGAAATAGCTGCATATCAGATGCTTTAGATATTTCCATGAAAAGTTTCATGTCGTCTGCATATATTGAAACATGAAGCAGCTTCAAAATGTATTCTATATCATTGACAAATAAGATGAATAGTAGTGGACCAAGATGCGAACCTTGTGGCACACCAGATGTTACATGAACGACAGACGACAATTTTCCTTCAAATCTTACTCTTTGCGTTCTCCTTGACAAGTATGACTCGATCCATTGCAGTAGCCTGGTATTAAAACCTAACTTGGACAACTTGAAAATCAACAGTGGTATATCCACTCTATCGAATGCTTTACTAAAATCAGTATATAATGTTTCTACGTAATTTCCCTTATCCATTACATTTAAAGCATATGTTACAAAATGTATCAAATTAGTGGCTGTAGATCGACCTTTAACAAATCCATGTTGTTTACTAGTAATGAGAGATTTAACTTGGGAAAATATGTTGGCATTAATGATGGACTCGAAAAGTTTAGGACTAGTAGATAATATAGCAATCCCGCGATAGTTTGTGATATCCGATTTTTTCCCGTTTTTTTAAATAGAGATTAAGAAAGATTCCTTCCAAATTGGAGGCAGCATACCGGCGTTTAACGATGAATTAAACAACCAAAATAAAGGCTTTACTAATTCATTTGAAAGTGTTTTTAGAAGAATAGGTGGTAAACCATCTGGACCAGCGCCTTTTGACGTATCCAAGGACTCAAGAGCATGCAAGATTTCTTTGAGGGATAAATTGTTAACTGTAATATCCGTCATTGGCTCCGGAAGGTATGAAAAATATTCATAATCGCGATCATTCTCGTCACGAGTTGTGTAAATGTTCTGAAAAAAGTCCGCAAATAAATTACTGATCTCACCAGATGTGTTCCCGGTTCTGTTATCTAACTGCATTTTAGAAGGAAAGTTCTTCGATTTTTGTCTCTCTTTAACATAGTTAAAAAACTGATTTTGGATCTGTTTTAATATTATTTTCTACCTTGGTATTATTTTCTTCATATGCATTTTTCATTTCTTCATTCAGTTGATCGCAGACTTCTAGATAAAATGTAAGATTTTCTTCACTATGATTTCTTTTATAAATCTTATGTGCTTTCTGTTTCCTATTTTTAAGATTGATAACCTTTTTATTGTACCAAACTGGTGTCTTGGTGAATATGGAGTATTCAATAGCAGTGTGGAACACTTCGTTTTTTTTCCAAAGAGGGGTGGGTGACTCTGATACCCAGAAATCATCAGTCATATTAGTGAATAACAAATCTAAGTAGCAGTTATTTTGATTTTTTATGTGATTTATTTGGTTGAGTCCAATTTCTGCACTTTTGTCGAACAGAGTACGAAGTGTTTCATTTTCTCCTATAATCGGTATCAACAAAGATTCGTTGTCGTCATCAACAATAAAATTCACTGAGCGTTGGTTAAAATCTCCGTATATGTGAACATTTGCTTCCGCCTCACATTTCGAAATAATATTTTCAGCTATTTTAATTTTTTTTGTCGTATGAATCTTGCTTTGCATATTCTGGAGGAAAATATACTGTCGCAAAAATATGAACTTGATCTCCAATGAAACATTTGACCCAAACGTGATCAAACTCCTTACACTTACAAGATGATATTTGTTCAGATTCATAGTCAACACTAACTGCTACTATGACACCACCACCACTTTTTTTGTTGGATAACGTTTTATCACGGTCATCCCTAAAAACATTGAATCGATCACCGAAAACTTCTTCGTTCTTTACTCCAGCATCCCAGCTGGTTTCCGTTGCTGAAATTGCATGAAAATTGCATGCTGATACTTGTTTATGAATTTCGTTCACTTTGAAAGCACTTTTCATTCTGTGAAAATTTTGGCAATAGACGAGTAGCTCCTTGCTTTCATTTGTACATTGCGATGTTGTATTCCCTGAACACTTAAAATTATTAAAATTAATTACCTCTTCTTCTTGGTCCTGAGAGGTCGTCAAATCTTGAAAATCGGTCGGTTCTGCAACACTGTTGTCATCTACTTCCTCTGGAGAGAGCGTCAATTTCGACGAAAACACGAATGTCTACATAGACACGCTTCGGTCGATGTAGAAGGGTTAGCCAGCCAATGTGAATTCGCAGTACCGCTGACCGGGTAAGAGTTTAATATTTCACCTTTTTCAAATCGCATCGACGGTGTATAGTTAACCGGAGGTTTGGAGAAGCGATCCTTTGCCACAGTTAGAAGCTCTCGATCAGTGGGGAGCAAATTGGATCTATTGTAATTATTGTCGCCGTGGTTATTGTTGAAGCCGAAAATTGTCCTCCGATTGTTGTTGTTATTGTTGTTGTGATTGTTGCGGTGATTTCGCAAGCTAAAGTTGTTGATGTTTTGATACCTTCTGCTTTGTCGCTTGCGTCGCCTTTTTGCATTATCAGCCTGTTTTTGCTGATTCGAACGTCTTAATTTCCGCGCATCGTATTCAGACCAATCGGCCTTCCATACTCTCCTCGTACTTATAAGACGCCACCCGTAGCTATCAGCGACCTTTTACCTTGTTCAATTCTACCTCCAAACTGGGGTGTAAGTCGGGAGAAGATGGTAGCCATGCAGTATGGTGTGCTATGTTGGCAGACAGCGCCTTCACCTCATCGAGTATTTCAAGCTCCAACATTGAATTTGTTTGCATTGTGCAACTTGCCGCGGTATCTAAAGAGAGCTGGGTGAGATGGCTCATCATTTATTTTATTATATTTTATTTAAGTTACGTAGGTCAGTTGATAGCTCTGACGTCACTGATTTGACCGCCATATTAACATTCTCCTTTGTTGACATCGTTGCAGTATCAAGTAGCGAGGTAATGTGGTTTTTTATGGCAACGACACTGCCAGCTAAACTGTTACTTTTATTAATTGCGGTCAACTCATTTTTCATACTAGTCAGCAAAATTTCTATGCCATCGATCGCTTCATGAACGAGGTTCGGTTTTTCTTGTTGAAACGTGAGCCGGTGCATCACCTCCGCATTGCCATTCAGTTGCTTTTCGATCGATTTTTGCTGTTCAGCAATGCTTTTAAAATCAAGTTTTGCCTGTAAAAGCTCTTGACAGGACTCGCAGCATGGTAGTATGTAAGATGTAAAGTCCGATACCTTCCTGTCCTTCCTGCGAAGTGAGTTCCGTTGTGCAGTTACCCCAATGCAGGTAGCGTGGAACATTCTTGGGCAACCTGCACACGTCCACATGACCGAGTCGACAGAAGTGTCGCAAGCACAAATTTCGCAAACCATGATGTATGCAAGTAAAAATAACTGAATCACAGAAGGTAAAAAAAATCGCACCAATTAAAAACGCGGAGCCAAATAAAAGTACGTCCGAACTAATCGACGGTCGAGTATGAGAATGAACTGCTTGGCGATGGAGATTACCGGACCGGCGAAGCCCAGTGGTCGTAGATCTGCGCGATATACGAAAGGACGTTTCGTCTGCTGAGCACGGTAGCTGGAATTGGAAGCTGTATTCGGAATCGCAGTGTATCGGACTTCGGTTCCCAGATCAGTCCGAGGGTGGTCACCGACTGCTCTTCGGAGAACTCGTAGAACGGTTGGATTGCTAGTTGGTCCGAAAGAATTTCGGCTAGGACTGCTGAGCTGTTGGAGGCCCATTTCCTCAATGGAAAACCGGCGGAACTGAGCTGCCGACAGAGTTCGATGGCTTCTTCTGGAGTTTCGGCACTGCTGATGAGGTCGTCGACGTAAAAATCTTCTAGCACAGCCTTCTTGGCCATCGGGAAATTCTCACCTTCATCGTTGGCGAGTTGAACTAGGGTTCGAGTGGCGAGGAATGGCGCAGAGGACGTACCATATGTAACGGTCTGAAGCTCGAACGTGGAGATTGGATCTGTTGGTTTACTTCTGAAGGGAATTCGGATGAGCGATCGGTCGATGCGTAGAACTCCTATCTGGCGGTACATTTTCTCCACATCCGCCACGACTCCAACAGGTTTTCGACCGGAATCGCAATTCGATGGACTGGAGATCCTCTTGCACGACTGGGCCAACGAGGAGAATGTCGTTCAAGGAATTGCCAGATGATGTGCGGCAGGAGGCATCGAATACGACCCGTACCTTTGTCGTAGTACTGCTGGCCTTGAACACCGGGTGATGCGGCAAGAGTAGTGCATCAGAGAATCATCTACCGGATCTTCGAGTCGTCGCATGTGGCCAAGTCGTAGGTACTCGTCCATAAATTCATGGTAGGCTACCTTGACAGCTTCGTCCCGCTCAAGCCAGCGTTCCAAACTTCGCAGACGTCTTTCGGCGATGGCTCGGGATTCGCCGAGGTGAATATGGGGATTCTGAGATTTTGGAAGAGCGACTACATACCTTCCGTCTGCGTTTCTGATCGTAGTAGCATGGTACAGCTCATCACAAGCGACTTCGTCTGCCGAGTAAATTCGACCAGTATTGATGGACTCAATATCCCAGAACTTCTCCATAAGTGATTCCAGGTTATGGGTGGTGGTTGCGGTACAACAGCGTAGAGGGATCCGTGGAAAATTGCTGTACCAGCGGCCCGAAACTGCCCAACCGAAAATTGTTTCGATTAGCGTTGGTGACCCACGGTTGAGGTGGATCCTACCGTTCCTCAGGTACTCATGGAATTGGTCAGCTCCCAAGATCATAACGATGGGACTATTGATGTTGAAGTTGGGATGGGCGAGTTCAACTGTCTTGGGAATGTACCAATCGGAGATGTCCACGTCTCTGCCCGGAAGTTCGGTCATGAGGGTTGGAAGAACTAGGAATTCCAATTCACTTGTGTAATACTCGTCTCGTGAGCGAATCGATGCGTAGACCAGCTGTGAAACCCTGGTTGCCGACTCCCCAACCCCAGTGATGAGGATGTGGGCTCGTTCTGGTTTCAGACTCAGACGACTAGCGAGCCTTTTGGAGATGAAGTTGGATTGGGATCCAGAATCGATGAGTGCTCGAGCGAAGTGCTCGTTACCATCTTCATCGAGGACTGTCAGCACAAACGTGCAAAGGAAAGCTGTGCTTGAAGAGCGGGCATGAGCTGGTAGACTCACTTCGGTAGCTGGATGAGCTGATACACTTGATTCCACGGACCTTACCGTGGAGGAGGAGGCTGGTGGTTCGACTTCTGGGGCGACGCTACATTTCTGTGGGGATGGTGAAGGCTGGGATTGGTGGAGCAGCGTGTGGTGTCGTTCATGGCAGAGGCGACAGGAAAACTTTGAGTCACAGTTCCGTGCGACGTGGGAGGACTTGAAACAGTTCCAGCAAAGACGTTTCTGGGCGATGAGTTCCCTCCGTTGACCAACGGAGAGCCTTTGGAATGTTGGACACTGTACCAAGAGATGCTTTTCGGAGCAGGAGATACACGATAGGAGACTGGATCGTGGGCTAGCAACCGCGGTATTAGCGACCGACCTCGATTGCTGTGGTTTCCTGAATGGACTTGTACCGGCCACCTTAACTGGTGTATGACGATGTTCCATCTCTGAGGAGACCGTCTGGAGAACCCTGATCCGTTGGTATAGGAATTCGATGCAATTAGCGTATGTAACCTGGTCCATTTTCGACGAATGCTCTTCCCAGGCACGGAGAGAAGCAGAATCTAATTTGTACGAGAGCATACATACCAGAGGAGTGTCCCATGTGTCGACTGCTTCCCTTAGCTTTGCCAATGCCTTGACGTGGCGTTGGAAGTCGTCCACTAGGGTGTGGAGACCTTCCGGAGATTCCTTGCGAATAGGCGTCAGATCGTATAGAGCCCGGAACAGCTGCTTCTTTAGGAAATGCTGGTCGTCGTAGCGTTTGAGGAGGGCCTCCCAGGTTGGTCCATAGTTATCTGCCTCGATGTCTACCGTCTCGTACGGCTTCCTGGCATCTCTTTCCAAGGACTGCAACAGGAATTGCAGCTTTGCTACAGGTGGAATTTCTGGAACATCGTGGACCATAGATTTGAAAGTGTCTCTGAATCCCAGCCACCGAGAGTAGTCCCCATCGAACTTTGGCAAGTCAATTTTGGGAAGGCGGAAATGGAAGCTGGCTGGCATTCGTTGGGCATTGATGGTCTCATTGACAGGAGCCGGTTCGGCCAAAATTTGGCTCATCAGCCAACCTTTCACCGCACAGTACCGCGATTCTACCTCATTCCGTTCTTGAAAGTGCCTTGCCAACGGCGCATCACCACTGTCGAAGCGCTCAATATCAGCTTGTACCTTGATGAATTCTTGGTACAGTTGATTCAGCATTTCCAGGCGTACAGGCACTTGCAGGATATCGCTTGCCTCCTCATAATTCTCGACGAAACTCTCCATCGCTTCGAACGATGAAATCAGCGATTTTCGGATCGTTAGTCGATCCTTGAGCTTCTTCCTGGTGGCCATGCTACCGGCGATGTCGTTATCCGAACGACTTTCAAACGGGTGAACAATTTGCACACGCGACGACACGTGGGTGCGACGGCACGTGATATCCTTCCCGGTTCGTATCGAAAAAACTCCTTCCAACTCCAAACTCCAAACTCCATCACTCTTCTGGTCCCGGAATTGTCCTCCGTATCCGGTTCGAAGGACCAATGTTCGTGCCCGAGTGAGCACTTTAAAATGGAGGGTTGCTTAACGGCTTCAGCCTGTGGCCAAAAGATAATCACTCGATCACCGCGGTCACACTAACACAAAGCTACCTGGTATCTGCTACTTCGCCACAACAAAATGCTCTTTCCGGTGCCCCCTGTCCTATTCAGGGTAGCTGATCACTCCAACCGCGCTAGGAAAATATTAAATCCACACCTCTGTTTCGGACTTAGTGGGAAACTCGTGGGAAAACACACTTCACCCGCGACGAAAGATCACAAGTCCCTTCTTAGTTTCAGACCTTGCAGAAAAAAACAGAACGACCGAGCAATTTCACTGACTTTAACTTTATTCGATTGGGCACGGGTACGTGGTTTTTTGTGCAGAACTGTTGCTGCCGAAGTATCTAGGCGAACTAACTCCTACCGTGGTACCGATCACCTATTTCTACCATTTCTTGTGTGTGGTGCGTATGTGTATGTAAGTAGTGTATATAAAGAGTGATCAACGATCGGTTCGGTATGACGATCTATTCTCTACCTTCTTGCTTGTTACATTTAGATTGCTTTCAAGTCATTGAGGGTACAGTAGTAATAGTGGACGTTATTTCATTAGAATTAAGTTTAGGATAACTTCAACAAGATACAACAAATTTAACTGAATGCTAGCTTAAGCAATTCCTAATTTAAGCTTGGTTTGATCCCTAACAGCACTTATTTAGTTTTTACTTAGTTTTCACTGAAAATCCTGCGTATGAATGCTTATTGCAAGACAGCCTATATTACATGATATGGGCCATAGTCTGTACGGGGTATAAGAGAAAATACTCAAAATTAAGTTAAAAAAAACTCAACGTTGGGTTCTATCATTTCAGGTCCGCCGTTGAGTGAATCAGAAAAGCGGCGTTGGTTAAAATTTGCTCAACTATTGAGTAATAATAAATGAACTCAAATATAAGTTTATTTTCATTGAGGTTGCTCTTATGCGCCTTTAACCATTTCATATTCACAAACGTTGATAGACGAGTGGTCAACACACGGGCCCCGTAATCTCAACGTCCATGGTTCGGTTCCAGTCTGCTCCATTTTATTTTTTTTTGTCAACTTGGTCAACGTGGATTCATGATCAGGATTACTCAAAATTTAGTTTTCTTCTTTAACTTAATTTTACCTAGCCCCACGGAAGCCACGTGATGAGTGAAAGGAACTCAATTTTGGGTACTTTTTTCTTACCGTGTATGGACGATCAAATGTAAAATACTGTGGTAGCTTCAGAATTGTTCTGTCAAAAATTCAGCATTTTCATAGAACCATAGCGAATACTTTTCCGAACCGAAATGGACGTTTGCTAGATCTTTTCCTGGCAATTTTTTTTTTAAATCTATTTGTTTCAAATTCAAAATAAATTACATTTCATTATAACCTAGGTGCTCCAGTTACTACAGTAACTTACCAGCATTAATTGTTATGATATATATCTAAGTGTTTTTACATTGTTCCTGACTTGACAATTCAGTATTTTAAACAGGTTTTTTAAACCTGCATGTCAGTATAACAATTGAAATCTTAAAACAAAAAACTAAAACTAAATCTTATCTAAGTGTAAAGGGAATTAATCGTTGCAATTGAGGATTGCAACGATTTTTGCCTGAAATTATTAATTATTTTGTTGGACATTTGTTCTAAAGTCTCAACATTCGAAATTCTATGTACCTCGGTAGTAGTGTACCAGGGATGTAACTTCAAAATCATCTTCAGAACTTTGTTCTGAACCTTTTGAAGTGCTTTTTTCCTGGTAGTGCAACAACTAGACCATATTGGCACAGCGTAAAGCATGGCCGGTCTAAAAACTTGTTTAAACATTAGAAGTTTATTCGTCAGGCAAAGTTTGGATTTCCTGTTTATATGAGGATACAAACATTTTATATATTTGTTACATTTGGCTTGAATGCCCTCAATGTGATCTTTAAAAGTTAATTTTTGGTCAAGTATTAATCCAAGATATTTCACTTGGTTTGACCAGGAAATTGGAACTCCGTTCATAGTGACTATGTGACTACTACTAGGTTTCAAAAAGGAAGCTCTAGGCTTATGTGGAAATATTATAAGTTGAGTTTTGGAAGCGTTGGGAGAAATCTTCCATTTTTGTAAATAAGAAGAGAAAATATCTAAACTTTTCTGCAGTCTGCTGCAAATAATACGAAGACTTTTTCCTTTAGTGGAAATTCCTGTGTCATCGGCGAACAAAGATTTGTGGCAACCCTGAGGCCAATTAAGGAGGGTCCGAAGTCAAAATGTTATACAATATAGGCCCAAGAATGCTACCCTGAGGAACTCCAGCTCTAACAGGTAGTCGATTAGATTTGGAATTTTGATAATTTACCTGCAGAGTTCTGTCAGTTAAATAATTTTGAACTAATTTCATAATATAGAGTGGAAAATTAAACTTTTTTTTTATCATCAAACCTTCATGTCAAACTCTTAAGAGTTGATGAGTAGTTGAATGCCCATGGCGAAATCCAAACTGCTCATCTGCAAAAATTGAGTTCGTATTGATGTGAAGCATCATTCTATTCAAAATTATCTTTTCAAAAAGTTTTTTTTTACGTAGGACTACGTCTTTCGGGAAGATACAATTTATGAAAAGTGAAAAATGAAATTATGAAAGATATTGAACGTTAATAACTTAGCTGCCCCTGGGCCAATTTCAATTATTTTATCACCAATCGATCAAAGACATTTCTACGCATCGATAAAAATGCTTTCGACTGTTGATTTTCAAATTGAAACTATTGAAAAAGTGGTAATTGTCAAGTCCAAAAGCTTCTATATAACTAACAAATCCACCAATTACCTACATGCATTTCCTGCTTCCCCAACACAATCATCAGATAATGGTTTCTAGATGAAACAAGTCGAAGTGACATTCGTCTACGATCTTCGGGCGTGTACAAATAGGGAGGATACAATTGCGGAACATTTTGTTGCCAATTCCGAACCACACGCCCCCAACGACCAAACAAAATGCTGTTTTTTCTTCGGATTTGTTTTCCGTGCTGAGCACCAATGCTACCCACACCCATGCTTGGCATACACAGTTTTGGTCACGAACACCTCATTTGCTAATAACTTTGCACGCAGTTGACGGAACATAGTTCTTTTTGAAGCAGTAGATAGAATAGAGTGTAAGCTTGTTATAGATGTGTAAAATAAAGTAGATTTTAATGCTAGTAGTAAACTGTGTTTGTTTTAGCGTTGTAAAAATGAGGTGAGAAATGCTCACTACACATCTCGGAGTTTAAGTGTTAAATTGATAAGTGTTGATTCAAATGTTAAGCTTTACATAATCTTCGCATATCTATAGTAAACTATGAGCCTAATCTATCAATTACTTTAAAGAAAAATAAATTTCAACATCTGAGTGAAAAGTTATTACCAAATGAGCAGTTGGTGTGTACAACTGTGCATGTCTACACCTGGACCCTACCTATCGGCCCATCAACTCATGAACCGGGAACCCCGAAGGAAGGCGTGATCAGAGATGTTATGCCTCAGAACTTCCCGGCAGCGTTGACTGGGATTGAACCTAGGCCTGCTGGGACGCTTACCACTACACCACGGGTGCCGCTGCTCTCTAGAGTTGTAATCTTGTAACCAAACTTGGAAGCACTCTCTACTCTATATAAATTCTATTCTAACTCTTTTCTGAAATGAACTTGGTGATAAGTTTTAACCTCCGTGACGGTTTTGCGCTTGGCGTGTTTATTGTAGGTGACGGCATCACGCATATTTTCTAGGGTTTCCTCGAAGATCAGAACGGAGACGCTTGACATAACCACGTCGAGCCAGACGACGAATGGCAGGCTTGGTAGTACTCTTGATGTTTTCACCTAGAACCTTCCGATGACACTTGGTGCCTCCTTTTCCAAGCACTTGATGCTTGTTTGTCATCGAACGGGTGAAACGAAACTAAGCCTAAAGCGTAGATAGCAACCTGTTATATAGACAACCAGCTCTGCCGGTAGCATATTTTCTCGCTTCCCATTGGATATATTAAACAGCCAAGCAAAGGCTTGGAAAAGGAGGCGCCAGCGTCATCGGAAGATTCTGCGTGAAAACCCGGGGGGTTCCCAAGCCTGCCATCCGTTGTCTGGCTCGACGTGGTTGTGTCAAACGTCTCCGGTCTGATCGTCGAGGAAACCCGAGATGTGCTGAACGTGTTCTTAGAAAATATGCGTGATGCCGTCACCTACACTGAACACGCCAAGCGCAAAACCGTCACGGCCATGGATGTCGTCTACGCACTGAAGCGACAGGGACGCACTCTGTACGGTTTCGGAGGCTAAATCTTATCACCAACGTAACAAAACGGCCCTTTTCAGGGCCACTAAGTTCATTTCAGTAAAAAGTTAGAATATAATTTATATAGAGTAACCCATGATTCACCCATTCAATTTGTCACTAAATATATCAAAATGATTAAAAAATCAAATAATTTGTTAGGGAAATAAATTATGTTCTTAACGGTGGGTTAAATTTTTTCGTTTCACTTTCATTGACTGAGAAACCCTCATCGTATGCATTCTCCTGCTGCGCGACATCTTCGAAAACGTCCGAACCGTAAAAAATTTCGTAGTCATGCGTCAACAATGCGGTTGTGTCTTGTACACCACCCTCCAACTTTTTTTATTGAAGAAAGCAAACTTATTGGACGGTAGCTAGAAGCTTCAGCTGGATTTTTATCCGGCTTCAAAATTGGAACAACTTTTGCATTTTTCCATTTATCAGGAAAGTATGCCAAATGGAAACATC